GTCAGGATGAGGCTCTATATTTTCCCGATGGTCGATTATACTTGTTAGAAAGTTTGTTACAATATAGRACAGCCTGGTAGGTGTGCAAGATTGGAGCTGGATGAGACCTGTAACCAAATGGAGTTCATTGAGTTTACCTTTTGCAAAAGATCTTGTTTTTCGAGCTTCCATTGTTCTCTACGTGATAAAGTTGTTTTCATCCTTCAACAATATACATCTTAACTAATTGAACTATATTTACATAGACATAATTATACKGTGCGAAAAGAATAAAATAAGTTTTKTTCATATTTTAGTAGGCATGGCACTTGTCATTCAGCATCCATGATAAAAATCCAAGGTCTTACAGGAGATATTGTTTATGTGTTAACGCATTCATGGAAGCTCAAAAGTACAACTCAGCTAATTTAGGGGAAGTAATAGGAAAAGCTCCTACGTCTAAGAATAAAAAATAAAATATAATAATAATAATTGAAAAAACAACAGAAAATAATAACAATAAAGAAACACAATCGAAAAAATTACAACCCGCTAGAAAGAAATACTCTATGTGAAAAATATTACAACTACACAAAATTCTCTCTACGATCCCAATTACAAAAATATACTCTCAAAGATTTATATCACTCACACCACTAAAGTTAATATTACATCAAATCTTAAAGTATCTCAATTTATGGATGATTATAATCCAAATATCTGACTTACGAGTCTTGTTTATAACCCTTCGAGCACATCACTTCATTGTACCTTTTCAATGTGAGATTTTTTGCTTTTCTAATATTTTGCAACAAAACAAAATAAATAAATAAATAAACCTAACAGAAGATCATGAGTATATAAATGAGTGAAAATATAGCTCTATTGGTACGAGACCTCCCGGGTGATACAAAACAACACTATTGGTGTGAAATCTTCTGGGTTATACCAAAATAAAAAGTGACGAGGACTTATGTGTCAAAAGTAGACAATATCATACTATTTGAGGATACGTGAGGTGGGTCTATTGTCCCTAATAGTTTTATGTTTTATTTCTTTTTGGAATTTATACTATTTCAAAATTTCTAACTATAGTCATAAATTTTGTAAAAGGAAAAGCTAGAAGTTTTTTTTTATATATAATTAGAAGTTATTTCTTAGTTCAACTTTTTTTTTTCCTTTTATGTATTATTTCATAAATTTATAACGTATTGTCTACATGTAGAAAACATTATAACACGAGTTGTTGTAATATACAAGGAAATGTTTCGATCAAAAAATATATATATATAGAAGGAAATGAAAAATTATGTATTTTTAGGATTCAAAATACAAACAAAAAAAATTGGGAAACAGATGTGAAAGTACAAGAATATTACCAACAAATCAATAATGTTGTTTAGAATTTTTCTATTGATTGAATAAATGAACAATTTAACAAAATGTTCTACAAACTTCTATTTGTGTCCTTACCTTTCTCTATTCTTCTATTTTTATTATGAAAAAGACATGCATACAACTCAAAAATACTTTCAATAGCTTATCAAATTTAATGTAAATAGAGAGAATTGATTTTTTTTTCTCTTTAATTTAACAATAAACTTCTGTTATGCCTTTAGTAAAAAATAAAAAATAAACAATTATAATAAAATAAAATAAAGTAAATAATAATAATAGAATAAAATAAAGTAAAATAATTTGTTTTTAATCCCATGCATGGCAAACAATCTAACCATCAACTTTATAACAGGTTTGTGCAACAAAATGAGTCAAGGTCCAACTCGATGTCATCGGTGAGATCTTTAGGATCAGGCATTGTCACATATCGTTGGGCACGAGAATACCTAGATAAGGGGAACAGACACTCCAACCCTCACATTATTCTTGGGTTCGACTTAGATTGGGAGACTGAGCTAGAATACGATACATGATGTTAGAGTGCAGTCCCCTGTTTATAGGTTTGTGAGTGAATCGTGTAAACATCTAACAAGCAGTTGAGGAGTAGGTGTACTGAACCGCAGGTAGTTGAGAGCAGGTACACCGAACCACATGTCGTTCAACTTGGGGCGGCGTGTGGTCAAAGACCATATGATCCCTATCTTTGGGTCGCCTCTTCCATGTCGCTCTATCTCCCAACACTCTGAGACGGGATCACAGATACAAGCCCTCTCCTCTATGTGGCATCATTCTAGTTAACTTCTGCGAACATAAGAGGTAGTATGTACTTATCCAATTTAATTATGTTAAAAAAAAAAGACCTAACAAAAAATAAAATTATGAAAAATATATTATTGAAAACAAAATGTGAATGAAATCTCAATTTTACTATTATGTTTGGTGTATCTTTGTAGATGGGTGGGGAGATATATGGTCTATTTTATTATTGCAATAATAACATTATCTCTTCAAACAAGTAATTTTATAATTATAGAAAATCAAAATACATAGAAGTGACTAATTATAAATATCAACTCAAGTTAGCTCATGTTCATTACTATTCATTTAGAGTTTGCTTTTGTTTATGTTTTTTTTTTCTTTTTTTCATTTTATTTTTACAAAAATTATGAGACAAGACCCACCATGCCAACCATTATGTTTCATCCACTACACTATGAATCTTTGTAAATAATTTATAATTCAAAACTTTGGAACTTCACCCTCACAATTGTAATAATATTTCTGTCAAAATTGATTCAGCAAAACTTTGTTATTAGTTTAAATCATATTTTATTCCATAAACTTTCATATTTATTTTTATTTCATTTCAATTGTTTAACTGTATTTATCAAATTCAAAATAGATTCGACTGCAAAAAGGTTCTGATGTGATTAATTTTTTTTATAGGAACCACGAATCTCTTTATGATAAATAGATTCATTTTGCAAGTTTGTTTTCACGGATAGTTCCTACAAAGGGGAAAATCTGTCGGCTTTAAAAAGTCGTGAGGGTTCAAGTTCCGTTGATTCTATATTACTTTTTACTTTTTAAATACTTTAGCGTGAAAGGGAAAATGTAAAGACCACCGTTAAAAGCAACCCAAGCAAGACTATCCTCCTATAAAATAAAATAAAAATTGAATATGAGTGGTTTTCCTCTCGACGATGAATTATAACAAGTTATTATATGATTTCTAGTATACTAAAGTGGATGATTTACTCATTCTATAAATTCAATTACTAATTTGAATTTGAAACAATCTATCTCTATTTTACCCCTTCATTATTGAATTTTACATTTTAAAAAATATATCGTTTTAGTTCTTACCGTTAATTTTATAATTTTTTTAAAATGAATAGTAAGGATTAAAATTATTTTCATGTAAACTAGTTTAAGAACTAAATTAAAATGAAAGTTAATGAGGCCAAAAATAGATTAAAGGTTAAAATATTATGTGGGTTCATAAAGTATTATTTGTTCATTTTGGTTCTTGTACTTTTAAATTATTCATTTTGGTCCATGTACTCTTAAAATGTTTGCTTTTGTCACTATTTTAAAAAATTTAACACAAATTCTATACATAATGAAAATCTTTAATATAAAGTCATAGTTACATTTCAAAAAATATATTAAGTATAGTGTAGTGATAAAATTTTGATAGAAAAAATGAGATAAAAGATAAAATTAAGAGACCAAAATGCTCACTTTTTAGAAGTACAAAAACCAAAACGACATTTTTGAAAGCAGAAGAACTAAAACAAGCCAAAATCGAAAGTACAAGAACTAAAATTAACATTTTGAAAGTACAGAAACCAAATTGAACTAAAATTGAATGTACAGTGACCAAAATAGTATTTTAACCTAGATCATTAAACATGAAAATTTCGGTGACGAGTTTTGTGTGCGATAATTATAGGAAATTTGAAATTGTAGGCTAATAGAGCCAAGAATGATTTCAACACAAACACGTGTGTGAATTATATGAAGTGTTTTTATGCCAAACTTTTATGGGCAAAGAACATGGTTGGTTCTATAAGCAACCAAAAAAGTCTAGTTGGCTCTTTGGCTTCCCCTTATATTTTTTTCTTTTCCATTTTCTTTTAAGGATAGGGATGTGACACAAAGGACCAAGATATGGGAAAGTTCTATTATTTCTTTGTGAAGCCATGATTTTCTTAGAGCAATATGTGAGATATGAGCATATCTTGTTATGGGGAACAATGGGAATATTTTGAAAATTTTATTTTTGTTGTCTACAATTTTAGTGATCAGTGCTCATATTCATGCATATAGTAGAACAATATTGGTTTTAGTGTTATGATTGTGTTGAAAGCAAAATTATTTTGACAACGTATTATAACACGACATATTTCAAAGTCGTTTTGACAAATACCACAGTAATGGTAGCTAAACACGTAAAATTAATTCTCAACATTTCTTTAATTGTTGCGTTTTTGGCAACGTGCCCAAATTCGAATGATTCTTAGAGTTTTGAATGGAGCCTCCTCCAATCACACATAAAGCCATACAAAAATTAACGAGTAAAAATAAAAGGTTTAGATCTCATTTCATCTATAAACTTCATAATTATTGTAATTTGAAAAGCTCATAAACTTTGAAGATGTTCAACTTAGTTCTTGCACTAAAATTTTTTTATTTTGCTATTATTCTATCTCCTAATATTCATCCAGACGATATCAACCAACCCGCGTGACTTTAATACAGGATTATATTAGTAGATTAAAACACATTCAAGACCACGTTATACATATGCCTAAATAATTGACCACGAACTCTAATAGCAAGAACCAAAATAATTATTTGGATTAAAATAGACCTTTAAAAATTCAAAGAAGCAAGATAGAACAAAATTTACAAGTTAGAAACTAAAATATCCATTTTCAAAGTTCAAGAATCAATATAAAGTTCAGATTTTGGTCGTAAAATCAAGTTCAATCTTAAAAACGAAAATATGTTAATAAAATCCTCATTTTCAACCCAAACAAAAAACTTGAATTGCATTTGTTTCAAAGCTCTCAGTCCAAACGAAATTGAAAAAATAGAATCATTTTGAGCCCTTCAAATCACATCATTCAAAATAACTTCTCATACTTTCTCAATTCCAAAATAAGGGCCAATTTTCCTCTAGCTTAACATCATTCTGATGAAACCTGTTTTTTTAACTGCCATTGAGACTTCCATTTGTGAAACAGAGCCACATGCATACATTTCCATTTCTGAGGAAAGAAATTGGCATCCATTTTCATGTTGGATATTCAAGAAAGACAAACCATAGTCACCAAACTTATCTCAACAGCCATATTGAAGAGACACCACAAGGAACATGCAGATGCAGCAGAGTTGATAACTTTTTCAGATTGGTAAATGATAACATGGTTTATTAGCTATGAATTTCGACCTTAATGAAAGGGTTCGTCTTAACCTGGGGGCCAATTCATTTGTCGTCCCCCCAAGAGGTGAACATGAAGATGATAAACCGATTGACCTGCAAAAGTTTCCCAAGTGTTGGTCAATCTTCGGAAAAATATGGCAGAAGCAAATGCTTGATAAAGCAAATACTAAGAGAAGATTTTTGGTATTGAGAGTAAGAAATGAGAGTGAGTACTGACATCCACTCGGTCCATCGTTAATTACAACCCTAAAGCCATCGTCTAGCCCTTCTTGCTTGGCAACGAGCTTGGCAGTGTAAAGAAGGTGACCGAGAATCCCCGTGTGCCTCTCCTCGGCCTAGGAAGCACATGAAAGTATACAATTAAAAAAACAAAAAAGAAATAAAGTAACAATTGTCTTTCCGTAAGGTTACGGAAAAAATCTTTTTATTGACCATATTATTTGTTTATGCATATCTATTTTAGTTTATTTCAATAAGTAACTCCTTTAGAATTCTTATTAACTCCCAAAGCCCTTGAGTGTATTTTCCACAAAAATAAAATATGAAAATGAGCTACTAATTTTAAAACTTCAACTCAATGTGTGAAAATAGGTAAATAAAACCATAAAATACTGACATTTTTCACAACTATTTTGAGGTTATGATCATGTTGATTTCATTTTCACAATTATGTGACAAAGCTTGTGATATCCTTTAGACTTTAGAGAGTGTGGTTAGAGAGAAATCAGAGGATTTTCAAAGGAGTAAAATCCTGCATGGTGGGCTTTCGAGATCTATCTAAACATTTCTTCTAGTGTTCTTTCTGCAAACATTTTTGTAGTTTCAAGGTTATGATCATGTGGAAAAGATCCAAAAGCATCTTTCTTCTTGGAAAATGGTGTTTTACTCTACGGGAGAAGGTTGATTCTCATCCAGGCTGTATTTTCTATATTTGGATTCTTTCCTTTACTGGTATGGGGGGCAAGGGATTCAAGAAAATAAAAAGGGACTTTCTGTGAAAGGGTGTTGACAAGGGTGGGAGTTTCTAATTTTTCTCACTCCTTTTGGAGTTTGTATCTTTGAAAAATTTTGTTCCTTTTCATTTATCAATGAAAAGTTCGTATCTTGTTAAAAAAAAAAAAGGTGGGAGTTCCTATTTGATTAGGTGAAGATTGTTATAAGGCTGTTTGATTCAGGTGGGCTGAACATAGGAAACCAAGGCTTTGTCATTTGTCAAGACCTTAGTTGGATATATATGTGGGGGGCAGAAGCCAAATATAGAAACCAACAGAAGGCTATCTCTCTGGTTCCCCATCCTTCGTGAATTTTTCGAAATTCTCTGTTGGAGATGACTCAGATGTTTACTAGGTTCCCTAGTCTCTACCACCTCTCCTCTTTGAAGTTGGCTTCCCGACTATACAATCCTTCCATATGTTAACTCCTCATATAATTTTTTTGAGAAGAATCCTTCTCATATAACTTTGATTCCCCCATTCTCTTTTGATTGTCAATTTTCATTTCTATTTGTTGCATTTATGGAGACATACACTGGGCATCACTTTAGCTCGTAACGGTGAGTGTGATAGGATTATTAGGATAGGTTGGGGTTCTTATCAGGGTATTAAGGGTATATCAATAATTGGGTTAGGGAGTTCTGGTTATGAATAAGGTGACGGTGAGTGTGATAGGATTATTAGGATAGGTTGGGGTTCTTATTAGGGTATTAAGGGTATATCAATAATTGGGTTAGGGAGTTCTGGTTATGAATAAGGTGAGGGGGTAAGGATGAGGGTAGGCAATTGGTAGTATGGCTTAGTCTTGAGTAAGAATACTCAGGAGAGGGTCCAAGTACCTCAAATTACTTGGTAGCCATTGTAGTTTCTATATCTTTTATATTTCAATATATTGTGAGTTGTTTTGATTCTACCAGAGTGTTGTTCAATAACTGAGGAAGTCTTGTTTCATCCGTTATTTCGAGTCAAAAGCATAGCTCTTTGGCACACACGAAGGTTTCTTTGCCATTTGGTGGAGTATTTAGTTTGTAAGGAACAAAATAATTCTGAGGTGTCAAGAGGAGGAAGGTTTAGTCTTTCTCTAGGTCTAGTGCCTTCTTGAGTGTCTACTTCAGGGCTCTCTGTAATTATCCAGCCCCATTTTTATCTATTAAGAATTTATTTTGGCTCCGTTTTTTACCCAGCCAGATTTCAAATTCTTCCCAATATTCTTATAGATGAATTGAGTTTTCCAATTATGATTTCAAAAAATGAGGAAGAGTCAAAATCTGAGATCAGAATTACTTCAAAAAATAAAATGCCAGAAGAATACCCAGTAAAGCAATACCTTAGATAATCCAGATAACCCATCCTTAACTTTCGGAATGAGTAGAATATGTGTAGGAGCTTGTGGTGATATGTCCCTAAAAGCAAGGACCTGCCATGAAAGTAAAATTAAAATAAGAATCAATTGAATTCACAATGACAGATCTTGACTACTAGTACAAATATTCATCTCGTGACAATATACAAGCCAGGTTAATAAAAAAAATGAGTAGCCAACAGCCGTGATAGTACAGATGTCAAAGGACTCGTATATTAATATATATTACATTCTTTAGAATGAAATAAGAAAATCAAGAAAATGGTTTGGAAAAATAATCATACAAAATGAAAAACTATAAAAGCAAGAAACTTTCTAATCTACTTTTACCAGCCGTGTACTATTTCAGCATCAGTCTTAATCCTAATTAAACAAAGTATTGAAAAGGTATAGCAGTAATCAAAATACAAAACTATCTTTAGAAGTTTTGAAGAGCTCCTCAAACCAAAAAATATAAACGACAGAACATTCTGTAAGAAAAAAGTTGACCATTCCAGACATAAATGAGGCCTGGAACCTACAAAAAATCTTTCAAACTATACAAGAGACTTGTTTTTTAACATCTAATTTCTTGCAAACCAAATTTCTAAAATAAATATTTCAATAGCATTCATTTTAATTATACATTAAATGAAAAAAATAATAAAAAAAATAATAATCAGCGGTAGATTCTAAATTTTATGTCACAGAAAGTGACAATTTCTCCTAGAAAGTAATCTAACATAACATATTCAGAAAATACATTATTCATAATGTTAACCATGTATTTGTTCTTGAAGATGCCAATGCCTAAACTTTATATTTCCTTCTTAAAATCTTTTACATAATAATACAGTTATATATTAATAACGTAAAGGAACCTTGTCATCCTCGAAGACCACTGTTGATGGAATTTCCTTATTAATGATTTTGTCAAATCTGCAAAAGTAACAACCAAAAATATTAGTTACAGGTTGCACTAGCTACTAGGTTTTCGTGAAACTTAATGACATTACTTTTACTCTATTAGAGTATAGTTAAAACTTACAAGGTCTTCTAAAAGGAAAGAATAGATCAAACTCCCGTAGGAAAGAGACAAAAATAAACAGAAAATTAATACCTCCCTAAATTAGAATAGTGGTACAATTAATACCTCCTAAAATCTAAATCAGAAAATTAATCATGAGCCAATTAATAAATCCAATGAAATTCAACCAACAAAATATTCAAAACTCAAATCAAGTCGCAGAAATGTCAAAATTGAACTATAAAATATTTTAACCTAGCAACAAAAATTTAAGTAGGTAAAATAGTACTTAAACTCAAAAATAAAATGTTGAAATTGAGTTAGAAAGCATCTCAACATGACCAGAAGAATCAATTCTCATAAAAATAGGATCATCCAACAATACAAGTTCACATAGCAACCCACAAATCTTCAAAAAATATTTATGCATAAACTTAACAAATTAAGGGTGTTTGATTGCAAAAAACTCGATTAAATTTAGGATTTAATTGGAGGCTATAATTACAAAAAAAAAAATTTGTGGGAAATAATCCACCTCGAAGCAACATGTTTAATATTCAAACAAAATGAATCCACCAAGGTCGAGATAAACTTTTTCCTAACTATAGTAAACATAAGATAAATGATATATAAAATTTCAATACTCCACCTCATGCATGTTTGAAGATTCTTGCCTAGCTAGATTGACAATCAATTTGTCAAGTTGGTTTTTGTGTAGTCCCTCAATTAATATTGCAAGACCCACCTGTCGAGCATGACGAAATCCATCCTTAGCAATCTGTTCTGTACTAAGAAGCTAAGGTGCGCACAGATGACCTTATATCAAGCTTCTCCTTGATGAAGTGTTTGGCCACTTCAATTTTCTTTGTCCAATCATATAGAAAACTATGAAAATTGCAATAATTTTATCACAGCATATCCCTATAGCAGCCAACTAGGAACATTCCAGCTATTCACAAACTCCGTGGGGCAAATCCCTAAATTCTACTTTAACTACTCGTAGCTATTCTTTTTGGCAGTTGGCACATAGGGTGACGGTGGAGGTGTTGTTGCATCATCCTTCCGGGACAAGGGAAATGTTCTTTTGGCATTATTTTTTTTTAATCCTATTTTGTGGAGTACTTGGCTGGAGAGAAAGAATAGAGTTTGGGCTTAGGGGTCTGGGAGGAGGTGGGACATTACTAGATTTAATACCTCTTTTTTTTTTTTTTATACCTGTCTTTGGGTCGATTTCGAAGATCTTTTTTAGTTATCAATTAGGTGCTAATCTTTTGGATTGGAGTCCTTTATAGGCTTTGGGTTCCTCTTAGCAGGTGGTTTTATTTGTCCTTCTGTATTCTTTCATTTGTTCAATGAAAGCCTAATTTCTTATTAAAAAGAATCATAGCTACTATATTTTGTTTTTTGCTTAGCTAGGTTTCTCCCAAGCTTCCAACAAAAGAATAGTAGCCCAAAGTAGATCTTCTGTAGTAAAACTTCTAGCCCAGTCAACACCAACGTTACCTTTTACGATAAACACTATTTACATCCTGCTTTTTTCTAATCTTCTAATCGTTTGGAAAATTAGGAATTTCTAAGTACCATATTTTCCCCAATGTTTTAAAAGGCTTTTGAGGCTTACGCCTTGAGACCCGCCTCGAGGCAAGGCTCTAACTTTTAGCCTCAAGTCTTACGCCTTCTTTGGACTATAAGAGGCTTACGCCTCGCATAGAAGAGGCTTACGCCTCTTTGAAAACGCACTGAGGCTTAAAGTATACGCCTCGTGTAATGATTACAAGAATACTATTAATTTTTCCAATTCTTAAAAAATATCAAGGTTTTTTTTTTATGGAATCCTAAGCAAGAGTTGTAAGTGTAACAATTCAATCTATTACTACTTTTACTACCTAGACTTTAAAAATATTGAAGACAACAATTTATAGAATAAGTAAGTTCTATTGGTGATAATAGTAGTGATGTTATGATGTTTTTTTAGAATTTTTTTTGAGTGACAAGTAACAGGCGGATATTTTGATAATTTTATATAACTATTATGTTTGGTAATACTTGACCACACAAATTTAGGATTTGTTTAATTCTTTTAATTAAAATTGAGGCTTACGCCTCATACCGCCTTGAGGCTTACGCCTCGCCTTTTCAAGAGAAAAAGCTTCGAGGCCGCCTTTAGCCTTTTAAAACATTGATTTTCTCTAATACAATATTCATTTCCTCTACAATAGAAAGTACATTAGTGTCTAGCAAAGTAAATTAGCTTAGCTAAGTTAAGTCTATTAATCATATTGTCCTTGTATTATAACTTTACTTTCTTTATTTATGAGTCTTAGAACACCTGTGTACAACTCTAAAGAATGAGGAATATCATGGTTTTTCTCTCAGACCTTTTTGAAACTATATGGTATCGAAGCACTATGGTTTTTCCGAGGGTTATCTTTATAGTGAGATATAGAGTTTGTAGTTGAAGTCATCATTTTGGGATAGTAACTACTCCTCACTAACTACCATACCAAAATGAGGAGTACCTCAAGTTTGGTCAATCTGCATACCACCATAGGAGATGAATGTGAGGCTCTCACTCACCATTGTTGTGTGTTCTGTCCTGGCACGTGCCTAGCAAGTCGAAAATCTTCTCCAACCACCATGGTTCGATACACCCATTCACTTTCATTCTATTTAGGTGCTTACTCTGGTCACCCCGATAAAACACCACACCAATCTCAACAATCAGCTAAGGTCATTTCTTGTTTAGAGTGATCACGTTCTGTGTTTCTCCCCTTCCCGCAGTCAGAGACAACTAACACCAATCATTTCTAAAAACGCTACCGCACTTTCATTGACGCTCTCTAGAGGGTTTCTCCCAGTAATGATTGCACCCGACTTTGAACCTAACTCAGGTCCTCTCGTCAAGCTTCCGGTATCAGTTAATAGTCACTTCAAAGCTATACTCATAAAACGATTAGCCTTCTGCTTCGAAATAAGCGGTAAATTCAACTAACATCCATAACGATACACAATCAAAAAGAAAAAAAAAACCAATTCCATTTGTTGATCACCCAATAGCCATGAACCCAATCACGAACCGATCAAAGCACAAAGAATGACAAATTGCAGGGGGTACAAAACTTAAAATACAGAATGTTGAATGGAGAAGCTTACATGGTGGGGGAATCGGAGGGGACGGCTGCAAGAGCCGCGTCCTTCTCGGAAGAAGCCATGGAAATGGAAATGTGGGAGCTGAGAACTGAGAGACGAGTCCTGTGATTTATATCTCCATTGACCATCAGAATTTCAGAGCCCTAATTTTGTTGGCTTTGATATTCTTCCTAGAGCTTTGCGTCTAGCAGATGCCAGGTATAAAGGCTAAAAGCCCACTCTTTAGTATTTTGACCAATTATAAGCTGCCACGTTGGTTAGGTCTGGTGGGCCTGTCGTTTCCTTCCATAAGATGTTTGATTTTAACAACAAAAATAGGTTACTCTTTGCTCCATGTGCTCTTCAGTTATTTTGAAGTTCAAAATGTTTCGTTTTTATCTCTCTGGAATCTTTATTTGTAAAATTTTAATACAAATTTTCTAATAAAAAAATATTTAATATAAGGTCATAGTTGCATTTCAAGAAATATGTTGAACAAAATGTTGTATTTAAATTGTAATTGGAAAAATAGATTGAAAATAAAATTAATGGACAAAAATGGTCCCTTTTTTTTTAAGTATATGGACAAAAACGAACATTTTGAAAGTAAAAGTAACGAAAATGAACAAAATTTGAAAGTACATCGACCGAAATAAATATTTTGAAAATAACCAGGACTAAAATGAACCTTAGTCGAAAGGAAATGACCAAAATAGTATTTTAACATAAAAAGTCATTTTTTTGAAATATATATACATATGACTAAATGACGTTATCATATGTAATAAAGATATTGTTTAGAAAATATTGGTGTATTCTTAGTTGATGGAAATTTTGTAAATACATCGCCACAAATATAAATAAATTGTTGAAATCAAACATTTGGACTTGGAGGACAGTAATTTAATTCCATGCCACACTTTACTAAAACAAAAACAAGACTACATTCCAATAAAACAAACAAATTTTTAACACCCCGTTTGATAAGAAGTTTTTGCTTTTTTTAAAAAAAAAAAAAGAAAATTAAGCTTATAACCCCTAGTTACACTTATATTATTGTTTTGTTGTTATATAATCCTTAAAAAAAATAAATCTAAACCAACTTTTGAAAACTAAAAAAAAACAAGTTCAAAAGCGTTTTAAGAAATGTGGAAAATATATTGTGAGAAAACAAAACATAATTTTAAAAAATGAAATGGTTGAGTTCTTTTTTTTTTAACTTTAAACAAATATTACATTAAAAATATTACATCACAAATGTGTTGAAGCAATTTACAAAATTGCTGAAAATATTTTATTATTTTTCTTTCTTATTAAAGATTCTACCGGTCGCTCCATAGATTCCAAAAGAAAATGAAACTAGAGGATCTCTTTTTGTTTGTTGAAAAAGTAGCCCATAAAATAATTTGGGAGAGGCAACTGCAAATTATATTTTGAAAAAAAAATGATTATTAGATTATTAGATTATATAAAATTGATTAAAAATTTAATCTAATTTTATCTAGAAAAACACTTTAGAAGAAAGAATAGATGTAATCCCACAAAAAAATGTCAATTTCTTCACAATCCCATCTCATTCTCCTGCCAAAAGTAAAACTGATATATTAACAAGAGATAATAGGGGTTTTGATCATCCATAGTTATTCCTGATACTTAACCATATTCCTGACGCATCACAATCGAACTGCTTAGCAAATACACGATCAGTGAAACAGCAGAAAACGAGCACGTTTTGCTGCGAAGTAACTGCTTACGTAGGAGTGTTTCAATAAGGTTTACAAATAGGTTCAATGTGCACATTTATATACAGAGGTTACAGAAATCATCAACTTCATGGAGACAACAACACAGTACTCTATGAACCACAAATCGGATCTTAACTTCAACGGTACACTTGATGCAACCAGCCTGCCTTCTTCTCTCTAGAGACTTGATTTCGAACTCCAACGCAAACCCAACCCATTGTTACATTGATACAATTCTCGGTCCTATCGACCACAAATTTATTCGGGTAAGTTAAGGTAAATTAATAGATGGGGCAGAATCCTCTGTTGATCCACGATCTACACGTTGTTTCTTTCGGGGAGATGAAGGCCCTGCAGACACGTCACCATATGACTCAGACTGGCAAGTCTTCTGCTTATTGTCCTCAGCTGGGGGCAAGACCTCGGTGTCTTTCGATTCACCGCCTAGTTTCTGCTGCTCTTCGATGATCTTCTGCAAATATTTCGCCTGAGCTTCTATTCTCATTTGTAATTGCCTCTGAACCTGATATGTGATTCAAGCAAACCAAACTTAGTTACTGGCTTGAGCTTTTTGAGATTTTAACGACAGAACAACCACCCATAAACTTGATGGTGAAAAACAAAAACCAAAGAGATGACCTACTCCCTCTTTTTTCTTGAAATGCTCAGCTCAAAAACAATAGGACAAAATTATTTGGAATGTAGAATTTTCTAGCATTGAGTTTACGGATCATTCTAGAGGCATTTGGTTAACAGGTTGAATTTGTAGAATTTGAGGTTGGGAAGTTGAGCCTACTTTCTAAATGTGATAGGTATCCTTTGGTTTGCTTCAACTCAATACCTTTTTTCCGATAACTGGGAGTTGGAGCTTTGCTCTCCTATACTAAGCCACTTGCTCCCACCCCAAGCTTCAACTCAATACTCTTCTAAAGTTATTTTGTAAATCTGTTGTCATCGAACTCATAGATGCCTAATACTTATAATTTCCACGAACATCTTGTCAATTTTCAGAAATCACGAATTTTAGTTCCATTCAAGAACAAAATCAGTAATGCCAATGATTAGAAAAGACAAGTTAGAGTACAATGGTGATAGCTGTAGAGAGGACTACCTCTCCCTCTCAAATCTACTCTCATCATCGATCTGCTGTTTCCTAGCATTGCATTCCCTTTCCTTCTTGTACTGCTTGCTACTAACAATTTCCCACCCACATGCCAAGTCTTCTTAAGAACAATAGTCTAACAAACTTCTACCTTCAAGATCTCGGCTAAAACTCTCCTTTTCTGTTAGAAATTCTCTTATGAGAACAGGTCGTTGTCTCTCACTTCAGTTCCTTTCATACAGAGTACCTAGAATGGAGATAGAATACGTACCGTCCTTTCCAAACCCTGTTAACCTTTCTCGACTAGTCCTGCACGACATTAGACAAAAAGCAAGCAGTGGGGGAAGCATCAAAAACTGCCAGTCAGTACATGTGGTGGGTTCAAGGCAGACGGGTATAACAAGAAATAGAACGGGGAGAGGTGAATGGATAAGGAAACAAGGGCCAAGTGTGGGTGAAAGTAAGCAGATTGGGTTGGGTTATATAGATTCAAGTTTGCACAGATTGCACTAGAGGCTCTTGAACCATCCCAAAATCGAGCAAAAACCACAAAGAACAGGGCGAGAACATAGCAATGGCAAGGAGATGAGAACAACTGAAGACTAACAGTGGGGATTGGAGAATGGAAACGAGTGACCTTGGGTGGTAGTTGGTAGCAACTAGTAAAACAGGAAAGCGTATGGCAATAAAGTGAGATTTTGAAATATAGTTTACCATCTTTTTTCTTTTTGATATTTTGACTATCAAGGCCAGCTTTGCGCACCCAACTATTCTTCCAACTATTCTCACAAGACTTGTCTGATCTTACGGCATTTTATTGTCGAGGTAACACGTAGGATATTAAATTCTAGATGAGGTGACCACCAACCATCATGGGATGGCCTAGTGGTCAATAAGGGCCAATGTAAATAGCAAAGGACTTAGAGGAAATGGGTTCAAATCATGGTTCCTACCTAGGATTTAATATCCTATGAATTACCTTGTCAACCAAATGTAGTAGCATTAGGTGGTTGGCCCGGACACACGGATTTCAAAAAAAAGAAAAAAAGAAAAGAAAAGCTAAGGTGGCCACCATATTTTAGACTCATTTTCTCTAAGCTCTTTACTATTTACATTGGCCTTTATTACCCACTAGGCCATGTCCAACCCATGATAAAGGTTATTTGAACCCAGGCCAAGCTTGATAATTATCTAACCAAATCTTAGTTGTTCTACTAGTTTTGTTAAAAAGATTACCTTGTTTTCTTGTAAGAAAAACCTGTCAATTGGTAAGCATCTCTTGCAAATCAACTCTCAATATCCGCCTACCATCTATTTGCCATTCAATATTCCCCTCCCATTATATACTACTTCACACTCACAATGTAACTAGCTCCACCCACAGCCTATCCTAGCCTAGCATTAATAGCAAGTCTTACCAACTTTCAGCTGAATTATTCTACTGCCTCACTATGAATCCTAATTCCTAATACAACTTTTCCGATTGAAGTTTTATAATCTGCTTCTTATGTTATTAATGATTTAATGTTCGTCTAGGCTCTGGCTTCCAATTATTGTATTAAATTTTTTATACTAATATTTAGTGCTTTGACAGTGTGCGATGGTTTCTTTGACTTTGATAATTTCTTTTTAAACGAATATTTCATTGATGGTATGAAATATACAAAAGGCCACATGACAATTACAAAAAAGCCTTCCAGCTTGTAATAAGATTGTTTAGGGAGTAGCTATTGAAAGGGGTTGATTTTGATAATTTATGTTTCTTTAGTTATTAAGTCTATCATGTTTTACACATCGCCCTTTGTTCATCTCCTGTCTCCAAGACTGAGACCAAATGATTTGTCAACTAGAGGTGTGCTGCACCACTTTGAAAAAATTCCATCCTATCTGTGCCCATGTTGCTTAAAAGACGGTGCCCGCTCACTGATCTATTTTATGCGCAGACCTTTGAAACATTGCATTTAATAATATTTCACTATTTCTTATACAGAATCTATAAAGAGCGCACATATTTCCCACGTGGGTAACCAGTTCTTCTTTAAATGCAAATCAAAATCATGTTGTATAATGACCATGGGCTAACCCTTCCATCAAGAGCAGAAGGAAAGTTGTCAAGCATGTATATCTTTCAACTTCAAAGCGAAAAGCAAAAGAGTGGTAAATGACGAGGGAAGGTAAACCTCGAGCTGTTCTTGAAGACGTTTTTGAACCTCCATTTGCAACCTCAATGCCTCATTAATTTGCAGGCCCCTAAAGGATAAGGATGCAAGTCAAAAAACAAACTGGAGCAAAAGAAGTCACAAGAGGAGTTCTAAAAAGGAATGGCTACTCACGAAGAGGAGTCTGTTCCAGAGAGACTCTCTGAGCTTCTTTTCTCATCTTTAGAACCTACACGCCAATAAGGAATAATCCAAGTGAAAATCAATACACTCAATAGACAGATAAACGATTGTTGCTAAATTTTAAGGAAAAGAAAAAAAGCAATACTAAAAAGATTGTTTTACCATCTGCTGGAGATTCTGGCAAATACTTTGCAAGTCGATACTTCTGAAGGAATAAAAATACAGTCAATTTCATATTAGCACCTTTTGTGTATTTTCATCATAGCTGATAAATTCAATACATGGATGCACCTGTAAATGGCTTTTGACATGATATATGGTAAGGCCAGGTACCCCCATCACTCTTAGAACGCCTTTCGGAGTTGCCCCTACAAGAAAATGGGAAGGAAAATTGTTGGTGAAATATCTATCATGTTGAAGTTAAAAACATTAACACTACAAAGATAATGCATTTAAGCATAGAAGTTGCAGAATGAAGATTCCCATCTTACTTAAAAAAGATAAAAATGATAATCTTACTTTCAAGTGGTCATCTACCAAACTCATCCTACTTCATTACAATCTGCCTCTCTCCTCCTCTCTCTCTTCTCTCTTTAATATCACCCTTTTCTCTCTCTCTCCTCTCTTTCTCTTTTCTCTCTGTTTAATATCACCCTCTTGGTGACTTCTCCTCTATCTCTCATCTCTCCTTCATATGCTTTATTTGTCAATGTTTGCCTCAACCCATTCTCCGACTTTCTCTCTCATCTCTCCTACATACGCCAATTTGGTTGCTTGGAGCAAAGTGAAACTCCTCATTCACTTAAGAAGTTTGGCTTCGCAAATCTCCTCAATAACAATGTTTCCCTCCTTGTAAGTGGCTTTGTACTACGAAAAAGAATGCCCTTTTGCAGGAGAGTGGTGGCTGCCAGATATGGAATCTGTGAGCGTGGCTAGTGATTTCTCTCTAATACCACCAAGAGCCCTTAAAGAGACATTCTCAAACTAAAAAAATTTATTGGCTGCGAGACTCAACCAAATTATCGGAAATTTTATGCTTTATCCAACAGCAAGAAAATTTTAGCCACGTTCAAACTCCTCAAATGCCTCTTGGTATCTCAACTTCAGAAGAATCCTTAATGGCATTGAGTTTCAAAATTGGTTCCTCTCATGCAATCTCTTATCAGTTTTGTTTTTAACCACTCCAAGGATAGACGAAACTAATCAGTCTTGAGACTGCTTAGGCATCTTCAGTTTAAATCTCTCCGAAAATATTTCACCAAAATATTAATGAGAAAACAGATAGTCCATTCTTCATTGATACGATGAAATATACAAATAAAGAAGTGGAGGCCCCATAGAGGGT